AAAGGCGATGATGTTTCCAGCACCGAAGAGACAGGCACCAATGTTGGGAGCAATCCAGTGACGGCGAAACTGAGCGGTCCAGCCGTAGATAAAGAGACCCACTGGGGTGAGGAAAGCGCCCACAACCAGGAGAGGTACTCGAAATTCAGGCCTGCCGACATTGTTGTTACGGGCTTTGAGTCGGCGATAAATGCGGTCATTCAGTGGAGCGCAGATCTGAGAGCCCAACCAGAATCCCAAACCAAGGGAGATGTAGTTCAGACCACCAATGCCCGTAGATTCGTTGTAGACACCAGTCCACAGAGAGCTGAACGTCGAAAGGACAAGGTACATCGTGCCATAAATAAAGGCCATGTACAGGGCCAAGACTTGAACGATGGGCTGGGTGGACAAGAGGCGGAACGGCCGCACCAGCGCTGTCTGCATCGTTTGCGAAAGGGTTTTGTTCTGTCGCTCGGTTTCAGTCTGGTACGCCGAATCACCCGTCTCTTTTCGGATCCGCTCTGCTCTCCGTTTCAGAATCTTGGGTGCGTATGTTTCACGGAGGAAGAATAGCCCGCCGAATTGGATGAAGCCGTCGGCAATGGAGGTGGCATAAAAGACCCATCGCCAGGTGGTGTCTTGAGAAATGAAGCCACCGACTATAGGACCGACAGCTGGACCAAGAAGCGGAGCAAGACTGTAGATCGCAACACTTTTTCCGCGCTCTTCTGGTTTAAAACAGTCCGAAAGCACACCTCCACCCACCTAAAGGTCGTTAGTTATTTAGCGGAAGACTATTTTGGGAAAAAAGACTCACAGCTAAAGGAGCACTGCCTCCAAGGCCAGACAGAAATCGAAAAGCGATCATCTGCCCCTTAGTTCGCGAGACACCGCATGCGATGTTGAACACGAGATAGAACAAGTTGGACAATTGCAGAACAATAACTCTTCCGTAGATCTCAGAAAGCGGCCCCAGAAACAGAGGTCCGACGGCATAGGCCAACACGAAAATGGACAGAGTAAGCTGAGAAGAGACCTGGTCCTCGATATGAAAATCGCTTGCAATCGACGGCAACGCAGGGGCAACCATGGACGAAGATACTGGGGAGATAAAGGTGAAGAGGGAGACCGTGATAATAGCAGCCCACTTCTTCTTGTTTGGCCAGTTCTTGGGGTTCTCAGGGTCATCGGGGCCATCCCATGTTACCTGTCGCCGCGTTACTATCGCCCTTGGACAGATATCCCTCGAGATGACCGCTTGAGCTTACCAGTTTAGGATCCCGCCGCGATCTATCAGACTTGGCCGTTCGTGACCTTTCCAGCGCACTCTGGTCACGAGTACCCTCTTCCAAGTCAGTGTCGCGTTCGTTCAAGATTCCTCCTCTAACTTCAAGCACGGGGCTTCCCTGCTTCTCGTCATCATCCTCTAGAGGTGGATCTGCTGCGTGGGCTTTGGGGACGTCGTCATCGCTATGGTAGACCGATTGGTCATCCAGATGCCTGCCAGAATACACTCTGTCGAGATTCCCTCTCCTAGGTCTAGATTCCGACCTTGTCCTCGTTATAGATAGGAGTCTCAAACTCCGCGAACGTTCTGATTCCGTTGAATTTGTGGGTGACAGGTGCTGGCTGTCATTTGTGCTATTTACCGACGTTGATCGCGATCTACTATTTCCAGTCTTCTTTTCTCCATCTTGAGTCATGGCCAATCGCTCCGTAAAGATCACGCGACGGCAAATAGAGAGTACTTCTGAGACACCAAAGTTCCGGTAGAAGTAAACAAGAATAACGATAAAACAGGCACAGTTGTATCAACACGACCATCACAAAAGCCCCCAGAGGACCGCAAGCAGGGCCAGAGCAGGTTTTGTATGGCGATTCCACCTGAAAGAGCACCCTGCGGCGATAAAAGTTGCTTAATGCCGACAAGTGGAGAGAGGCCATGGTGGGTTTACACCAAAGAGCCCATTGTCATTGGAGAAGAAAAGCTTGACACAGACGGTGTCGCGGTTTTTGGCTCTCCACCGTCGGATAAGAGCCAACGGAGGCCTTCCGTGAGCGGCCTGAGCCGTCATCGCCTCCATTGTGGCCAGTCAAGTGTCGTTGACCATGACGAAAACGTGAAGCAAAGAGGAGAAATCGGCTTTTCGGCACTTTAGCCACGTGCTGGTGACTAATCTTCCGCTTTGGCTGATCACGTGCTGTTCTCTTCTAAGAGTATCTCAGGGACATTCATCTGGTTCTGCAATCACAAATCAATTGCATTGGAGAAATGTATCGTCTCCATATATATGCGATGTTATCATACATAACTTAGCTTCAGATAGTCCTCACACACCTCTCTAAATACTCCTGTACACGCTTTAGATCCTCCAACTCCGCCACCATGCCAACATATCCATCAGGTCGAACGACAGCCAGAGCACCCCTTGTCTCGTCTACACCGTAGATCTTGTAAACATCGTCTAACGCGTAACCGCTGTAGAATCGCATCTCCGAGTGTTTCTTGAGCTCGTTTGGCACATCCTGCCACATGAACGTCTTACCCAAGCGAGGATGGATAACCACTTGCTCAATAATGTTGGGCGGAAAGCGTGGAAGGACAGATGCTCCGAGAGATGTCAATACCTGGGCAGAAACGCCCTTGGGGTCCAGGAGGTCGGAAGACGTGAGACACAGAATGCGGAAGCGCCCTGTCGACAGAAAGTCTGGGTATTGTCAGTGTTGGGCTGCAGAGGACTGTGTGATTGCGAGAAACGTACCATCATGCAAGTGCCGTCTGTTTCCATCTGCATGGCGCTTGCATCGGACGTCAAGTAATCTCCTACCTGGACGGAGGACACCGGACAGGTAATCTGTCCCGTTAACCGGGTTTTCTGCACCGTCATCCGAAGCTTTATCCACCATTAGGCTACTAGGATACTCAATACCACAACCACTGGTGAATCCATTGCCCGTGCTAAAAACTTCGAGGAACTGTTCGTGTGTGAGCCCCTCGACTCCATCCTCTGAGGCCCCAATCTTGCCGGAGAACATGGACGAGAAGGCGCGATCGAACGCGATGAGTTCTTGGGCGATTGTATGTCGCTCAGAGTGGTATGTATCCACGATAGCATCAGGTTGGCCGGGAACCGCCGAACTAGGTGTGAGTCCATGGAGGGAATACGCCAGTTTCCAAGCTAGATTGTACGAATCCATCATTGACACATTCATTCCTTGGCCAGCCTTGACCGTCCTTGTCAGCAAATTAGCTTGAAGGCTTTGGATTCACACGTACCTTTGGGCTATGTGTATGACAAGCTTTAGGCAGATCGAACAGTCAGTAATTCTCATCAACTGCTCAATGATTACATACCATCTCCAACAATAAACACCCTATTGATTCCCTTCGAGTCTTTGACGGTGAAATTGTCCGTGACTCGCTGACCGATCTGATACGCGGCCCACCAGTCGACTGCGCCCTCTTCCTTAGGTCGAATATAGTACGGCTTGAATGCTTGCGCCGCATGCCGGAAAATGGACTCCTGGTTCACCTGGCTTCTGCGCGCGCGTGCATCTCCCTTGGACTGAGAAGTAGTCCCATTAACAGGCTTCTGGTCCTCTTCAGGAGGTGTCTCTTCCGGTACTTGAACATAGAGACGAGTCAGGTAATCGCCCGTCGCGATGCGCTCCCGCGGAATGACCATAACAGACCCCGCCGGTGAATGGATGGCGCAGCGCCTTCGGATATCGGGAAAATCCGTGTCGATTACCAGATCAACCACGCCCCAGATATGGTCCATCGACTCGCCGACCAGTTTGAGCCCCATGCAGCGCCGGACTACCGAGTGGGCGCCATCCGCGCCTACCAAGTGTTTCGAGCGTATTGTGCGGCGGGTGCCATCCGTCTCGATCTCGGCGACGACTGGGAATTCCGCATCGCCTGCCTCGTCGATCTTGACGTCGACAAGCTTGGTGTTCCGCTGCACGCCTCTTTTCGAATACCGGAGCAGATCTGTTTCGAGGATCCGCTCAATGCGACCCTGGTGGATTGTGACTTCATGTTGAAAGCGGGCAGGCACAGCCACATCAGGAACGATCGACGTCCTCTCAATCACCTTCTCCTTGTCAGGCGACGGATTCCAGAACGCAACCTCTTCCATGTGACAGCCATCGGTGAGGATCTCGTCCGCGAGCCCGAGAGATTTGAGGACTTCGAGCGTGCGCGGTTGCAGGCCGTCCGCTTGGCCCGATTTGAGCGTGCCCGGTTTCGCGTCTATACAGAGCAGAGAGTCATCGTTGAGGCCGTATCGTGCCAGAAGCAGGTGTAGCATGAGCCCTGCTGGTCCAGCGCCGACAATGACGACTTCATATTTCTCGGCTCCCTCAGGACGCGTAAATCGTGGGGAAAGGCGGGGAAGTGGAGGGGCAAAGGAAGGCAGAACGCGCAGTTCACGCGACGAGGCAGCGTATTCGGTGAATACAGGCATAGAGAAGATATTGCAATTGAACAGTGCATTCAATGTAAAATTGTGATATCAAAAACTGGGAATACTTGTAGACGGGAAGTGTACGACTATAAGCGCAAACAATCAGATAAGTAATAAATTTCCTTGCGAGTACTGGAGACCCCACTGTGAAGTCCCAGACAAATCCAATCTCGCAGTGATCCTTCAGGATAATGCTGCACCAGATGCCATCATCGATTTGATTATGTATGTTCGGAAATACGGCGGATTCTTCAAGGCGGGGTGGACAAGGACAGCTTGAACGAATAGCCATGTCACACTGGGGAAGCAGCTGCTGACAAGATAATTACACGAAGCTCACCAATCCCCCTGATCGCCCTCCGATCGGCTCATGTCTCTCTGGTTGACACTGTTATCGCTGACAGTGGATCCTCAGTGTGGGGCATTCCTCAATACTAAACTTACTAGCAGTATGCCTCTGAAGTATGTTTTACAAGAATGACAACTTCCAAGATCAACCCCGCACAGGAAACTCTGAATCCACTTACGGAGTAACATATCCAGAACCATCTAAAGCATACTAGGAATAACGCTCGCCTCCTCCCGCGCCATCGCACGCTCAACTTGCTCCCTCGAAGCCCAGATCCAAGTTTCGCCGAGACCATACCGTTCCCCTCGGCTCTCCTCCTCCCCCCAGAAAGCCTTGTATTCATCTTCCCAGAAAAGCAGCGCATTCCCCTCATGAAACCCGCTCAGGATCACGGCAAACGGCTCGCCGTTGCAACACGCACACCCCTCGTCTAGGCTAGGAGGGAGATGCACAGTCCCATCTTCCAATCCCTTATCGAGCTGCTCTTGACTCGATGCGTAGAGTGCTTCGATCATGGAATCGAGGGATATGTGCATGAGACGGGTTTTGAAGGATGCGCGTTCGCGGGTACAGCGATCCGCGGCGCGGAGGTAGAGTACACCCAGGTCGTCGAGCTTGCCTGTTCCTTCGTAGGTAGGGTGCGTCACGAGGCGTTCGCCTGTTGGCGTGATGGAAGTGGTTAGTTCGGGGAGGAGGTGTGCCAAGCTTTGGATGGTATCGTGGAGGGTTAGGGAGGAGAGTTCGTCGATGTGGATTTGCAGGGGGGATTGGCCTGAGCTGGTTCCCTCTGAAGTCGAAGTTGAATGCATGGTTGCTGTTGAGATGAGTAAGTGAGCAGGCTGCTGTGAAGTTGATGTTAGCTTTGATCGCGGTGGTCAGCTACTGAAAACGACGCAGGTTTAGGCATCTAGTCCTTCTCTTCAGTTTGCTGTAGCCTGATGGGCTTAAAGCGCCACGTCACGCATCACGTGTGGACATTATAGACAAGCAGATGTACTCCCATTCCACTGACTCCATGTTTTTGGACGAGAAAATGATTTAACATGCCAACGCCATCATCAGGTGTTGGTCGGTATAAGCATCTGCCGCTTTGAATCATTTCAGGGCTGGAAGTCTGTCCTGTAGGAGAAGCCTAACCGAAGGGCTTCTTGGTTCCCATACCATTGGATAACTAGAGCAGAGAACACTTGAGCCGAAACCCCGCATTTTACTATGTCCAGTACTCCGGTTTGTGGGGCAAAGTTTGTGCCAGGGGGAATCCCGGTTGTATTCAATGATGCGTATGGACGGAATAACGGATATCCACTTATCGTAAAGTAGAGCATCAGAGTGGCTAGGAGACCTTTCTACTCCTGGAAATGCTTTCTCCGTTGAATTGCATGCATCATCCCCTCCTCGTACTTAATTCTCGGGGTTTCTCCGTCGTGGAAAAATGTCCGTGCGTTGGCAGGTGGCTGGTCAGTATTTGGGCGCTTAGATTCCGCGGTCGATGATATGTCAGTTGTACACAGGGGTGTATCTACGCGGGGTTCATCGGTTGTGCTCCGGCATAGCCATGATCCAGGGCAAGGCACGACAGACAGCATTACCAACACGTCCATCTGGCCCGAGTTGCGAGTCATGCGCAGCGATTGGAAATCACAGATGAGGCCAGGATAAAGTCCTTCCGGCTATGGACAGTATCAACTTGTCCAACTCACTAACATTGGCAGGTTATAGAGTGGGGCTCAGCCACTCAACGATCGGTTTCCGTCAAATCAGCTCACTGAAACAGACGCGCTATACGGAGTCTTTCGGTTATGTCTGGAAGCTTGCTTTCTGCATATGGTCCCAAATATTAGCATCACGAATCCATTCCGTAAAGGTTCTTACCCCGCAAATGGGTTCAGGGTCAACCACCAAGGACTTGGGAGATGGGAGAAGGGGGAATCCCGAGACTGGAGCACGTATCCGCCTCCGCAAACCAGAAGTAGATGGCAGCGATGAAATCATGCTAGCTTTGTCTGTTGAGCCAGTCGAAGGACGGAAACGGTAACGGACGTAGGAGGCTCATGGGCCAACGCCAATAACTAATCCTCCCCGATTCTGGGTTCGCTTGAGCGGCTGTTGACGTCCCAACGGGGAGGAATACGGAGGTTGCGTAGCTCCGTGGTCCATGGAAAAGAGTCTAGAATAGCAGTTGGGAATAAGCGAGCAGGGGGTAAGCGGTTCGGAAAGGCAGGTCTCGCCGATCTTTGGTCTGGTACGAGTGTTCTCATATTGGTCGCGTATCCTGGTTTGTTTGTTATATAGTCCGCATGGTTATGGCTCTACCCTGGACGCCAAGCAGGCTATTTGGGTAACATGCTCTCAGCATAGTGCATCTTGACTTCGTTTTTTTCTCTATACATGCCTTTCTGGATAACTCCTCTCTGTTCTTCCTCCCCACTTTCACATATACAATCAATATGAAGCGTTTCTTCTTTGGTAGCGGTTCCAAGAGCCAAAAGGCACGACCTGTCGAGGATAAGTGGATCGTGGAAGAGCGTTCCATCGATGAAGCCCGTCCCCTGAGAGTCGTTATCATTGGATCGGGCATTTCTGGAATCATCGCCTCCATTCGCTTCAGACAACGGATCCCCAACGTGGATCTCTGCGTGTATGAGAAGAATGAAGATATCGGGGGCACCTGGCTCGAGAACAGATATCCCGGTTGTGCGTGTGGTGAGGCTCATCATCTTCCTGCGCGAGTTGTCTCGCGTCAATGGCGACCGACGCTTACGATGTTCGCAGACATCCCAGCCCATACGTATCAAGCTACTTTTGAGCCAAACAAAGAATGGTCGACGTTCTATGCTGCCGCTCCGGAGATCCACGCGTACTGGAAACGTGTGGCTGAAAAGTATGGTTGCATGAAGTACGTCAAGCTGAAGCAGGGAGTCGTTGAAGCTGTCTGGGACGACTCGAAGAGCAAGTGGCAATTGAAGGTCGGTCCTCCGCACCTGGCCTATTGACAGTCTGTATTGACATGAACGCAGGTTCAAGACATTCAGACAAACACGGTGTACTCGGACGAATGTAATATATTGATTTCCGCAACTGGTGCATTGAACTCGTGGAAGTGGCCAGATATCCCAGGCTTGCACGACTTCAAGGGCAAGCTGCAGCATAGTGCCCGTTGGGATGAGACCTATGATTATACCGTGAGTCGGCCTGAAATACTCAGAGAAACGGAAGTTGAACCTCTGGCTAGGGCAAAAGAGCCGCGGTGATAGGAAATGGATCGAGCGGCATCCAGATCGTTCCTGGCATGCTACCAAAGGTAGCTCACATCGACCACTACATTAGGGGGCGAACATGGCTTTCCCCCACCTTTGCCCGCCAACATGTGGATAAACGAGGGGGAGCTGAACTGGAGAACTGTTTGTCAACCCATCTAGTCATGCAGTAAAAAAAGTATTGACCTCGTTGGAATAGTCTCGTTTACTCCAGAAGAGATTGAAACCTTCAAGAAGGACCACAGCGCCTACCAGAGGTTCCGCAAAGGTGAGTGCTTCTCGTTGAAGATACCGTGAGCATCGGTTCTAAGTCTAGGGCAGAAATCGAACTCGAGTTGCAATCAGTCCACGGTGTGACGCTACTTGGCACACCTGAACAGATCGGTGCGAGAGAGGTCTTTTTACAGAATATGAAGCGCCGACTCTCGAGGAAACCTGAACTGTGCGAAAATTTGATACCCTCATTTCCTCCTGTGTGCCGACGGCTCACTCCAGGCCCTGGATATCTTGAGGCTTTGACGGACGACAAAGTGGACGTCATCACAAGCAAGATCGTTAAAGTCGATGCAGAAGGGATCATCACAGCAGACGGACAACATCATCCCACGGATGTCCTTGTCTGCGCAACTGGGTTCGACACCACATTCACTCCGAGATTCCCAATCATCGGACGCAACGGTGTCACTCTAGCCAATCGCTGGCAGAAGACACCAGAGACCTATCTCTCCTTGGCTGTCGATGGATTCCCAAATTACTTCGTCTGCTTGGGGCCAAACGCGGCATTAGGCGAGGGTAACCTGTTGCTTCTGATTGAGAAGGAGATCGATTACTTTACGCTCTGCGTGCAGAAGATGCAGCGTGATAACATCCGAACGATGAGTGTGAAAAAAGAAGCGGTAGAGATGTTTACTCGCTACTGTGACCAGTACTTCTCAAGAACGGTGTTTAGCGAGAAATGCCGTAGCTGGTACAAGGGAGGGACCGAGGATGGCAGAGTCACTGCATTATGGCCCGGTACATTCTCTTGATGTGAACAAGTGCCGTATTTCCGTTCTCACTAACAAGCCATAGGTTCCTCGCTTCATTCAATGAAAGCTCTTGCGTATCCTCGTTGGGAGGATTACACGTACGACTATATCAATGACAATCCAAACGGCTGGCTTGGAGACGGCTGGACGGAGAACGAAAAGTTGAAGAAGATCAACGTGGATTATCTGAACGATGACGAAATTGATTTTCCAGCAACTGTCATCGCGGTATCGGATCAGTGAACATGGTCATCCTGGCAGTCCACTTCTCAACCTAATGCTGTCTTGAGAGATTATATGCGCGAATGCATATTTCCCCACCAAGTGTCGGTAGTAGTCTGCGTGTGATAATATTGAAATATAACACCACTAGGCCAGAAAGGCGTCCAGACAATGTAACTCGTTGTCTAGGATTTCATACATAGGTGCCTTAGGATAGTGGTGTATTCCTACAGAACAAGCAATGAGGCCCAATCTAATAGTGTTTGGACCAAGCTCAAATAGGCAACCGGTGTACCGGAAAGCGAAGGGAACCTGCCGGGGACACGAGCGATTACCTATCTCGGTCTTGTGTATTCTATACTGTCATGATATTACGTACGGTTAGACCCGGGTTAAGACTCCATGGTTAATACGGAGCAGTAAGGTAAGGGTAAGTCCACCGGTTACTTGGTTGGACGAGAAAATGAAGAATCAACGTAGTTATTCGGTTGAGACTGGGAAGTGAGCATCTCTGTCAGTAGTAGTAAGGTAGTGATGTCCCTACTGCTGCAGATGATTCTCATCTTTATACAATTCTGACTACCATTTTCCTATCTTAGTCCAGTGCAGGAATGAGCGCATCATAGCCCATTATCTATCTACTCTGCGGTTGATCTCCTGTAACTCCGCCTCCTTCGTCCCCCTCTAATTTCCCTCCCCTCTCCCTTTACCCCAGACTTTCTCCCCATCCCTTGAGCTTCTCCCCGATGCGCGCCAACGTTACTTCTCCATTATGAAGCCTGATTCCGACAAACATTTTCGTTGCACAATCTGTCAGCGAGGTTTTACGCGCATTGATCATCTGAAAAGGCATCATCTTCGCCGTACGTGGTTTTGCCTCCCATTTAGCTCTCCCTTGCCGCTCCGATCGTAGCAATCTCGCTATGACACTTACAGTTTGAAATCGGATTGACTGACTCGCTGGAATAACTTCTTAGATTCCGGAATCAAACCTTACTCTTGTATCTTCTGCAATGACTCCTTTGCTCGTTGGTATGCTGCGCTTTTCGTGATTCTCTCACAAAATGAAATGTGCCAATTGCGCTCGCCGCTTGGCACCTTTTGCTGTTCTGCTCTCCGCGCATCGACGCTAACATTTGCCCTTGACCATCTTGCAGCGACAACCTTCGTGACCACTACTCAGATTGTCCGAAAAGGGGGGATCGGCAGATCCCTGATACGGGACAGCGAGGGAGAAGACGACATGCTTGTCAATCGGTAATTCGACATTGCTGCTAATTGCGTGGAATGGCCGCTAATCATCTCTTTGCCTTTAGTGCACGTCGATGAAGCTGCGATGCGACGGATTAAACCCCTGCAGCTCTTGTCAGAAACGAGGAATCGAATGCAACAACGAGCGAAAAAAGCAAGTCTCGAACCAAGGGACGGATTCAGGTATGGTCTGGCTTTGCATTCGGACGTCGCGGTCGTTGACTTTCCAACTGGACAGACGCCTTGACAGAGAAACGCGAAGACTACGAACAATCGTCTGATCGTGGATCGATCAAATTTCTTCTCAATGGCGGTACCGATAGTTTCACGCAGCAATTCCTCCTTCCTCCCCGCAGCGATCGAACACGCAGCCTCGAATATCACACCAAGAAAAGTCTCGAAGACGCGGGAAGTTCCATTCTCGGATATGAGTTGAAAGATGGCCGGACAGATTATGCGCCCACATTCATCGAGTCCGACGCTGCTACCCTGAGCTTCTTCCAAGATACTTTCATTGACTTGTTCAACGGCCCCTTTGGCGATCCTCACAAGCTACTGGACGACCCATACGTCGGGCAGGTTGCTTACCATGCTGTCGTTCCGCCCGGACAGGATCCCAACCTGACACTAACAGGGCAACAGCTTAGCTACGAACCTGAACGGCCCTTCGCCACAGGAATGATACAATCTATTCTCGCAAGGGCCTGGTCCGTGCCCCTTGACGCGAAGGCTCAACAAGAGTTGTCGACAAATCTTAATTTCCTTCTGACGACAAGCCGTATTCGCAAGTTCGTGGCAATGTACTTTAAGTACTGGCAACCGAGCTGTGCGATGCTCCATCGCGCATCGTTCGATCCTGAAGTTGTGTCATTACCGCTACTTACGGCCGTCACATTCATGGGTGCCATGTACACCAATGACGAGAGGGAGGCATATATTGCGAAGCGAGTGCTGGATTTCGCCGAGCTCTTAATCTTCTCCAGCGAGGTTTACGCGTCCGAGACCGAGATCAGCTCAATGTTTTGCGGGAATCGATGTTTCGACGACGAGTCCAACGACTGGGTTCAGTTTCAGAATTTCCAAGCCGGCTTCATCATTGTGGTTGTGCAATACTGGGCTGGAAGTCGCGTATCACGCAATAGAGTAATGGAGAACAGGTTCAGCGAAGTCATCAAGGTGGGTTGATAATCTGGATTCCGCATATTCTAGGTACTAACTCGAGTGAGCAGGTCGCTCGTCGAATCGGACTCATGAAATGCCGTCATCTACCTCATGATCCGATGGACGAGTACTCGTGGATCCAGAAGGAATGCCGCATTCGGTATGCCTATGTCATTCCTAGTTTGCGTGTTCAAAGGCTAACAGAGTGTCTGCAGAACCGTGAACATCATATCACTCCTCGACTGTGCTTTCTCGTTTTATTCAAACTACCCCTGTCGTATATCCCACACAGAAATGGAATGGGACTTTCCCTGCCAAGAGGCAGTCTTCGACTCGCAGCATCCCTTTGTGGAGCCGAATTTCCGATTCTCGCGGGATATTCCCATCTCCGAAGCCTTTAATAATCTGTTTGAAACCCCGGCCAGCGAGGATGGTTCACAAGTCCATGTTCCGGATCATATTGCCGATATGACCGTCTTGGATATGTTTATTCTCATTCATTGTATGTTCACCCCATTCCTTACTCATTAACGATGAACTCACCCGTCTTCAGTACTGTATGCCTTCATAAATACACACATGACCCTCCTGGCCCCCTTGATACACAAAACACCATTGCCTAATTCAAAAATACCACAAGGGCCTGCAACGCCCTCAAAAACCCCTCGAAGTGCGATTCCAGAAGACTCCACATTAGCCGGTATCCGAACAGCGCTGTCACGATGGCGCGATCATTGGTTGGCGCTCCGAAATACAGTCTCCAGCCACGAGTGGGCGTCCATGGGCTTTTACAAGAACGGCTACAACTTTTGGCTTGTGTCGCAGCTCCTCATCACCAAGAAGAAGAGTGTGGATGTGGTGATGCAGATGGAGGTGAAGTGCGAGGATAAACTGGAGAAGCTCAAGGTGCTGCTCCAGGATGAGAGCGATTGACTTCTTAACGGACTGGAAAAATGGGAATAACGGCATATATACCGGGGTTATTTGGTATCTGGCGTTGATAACGGGATGGTTTACGATAATGATTTGATGTATAATAGGGTCAGCGGGCGTTAGGTCCGCCCATTGGGAATCAACCTACAGGTCTAGCAAATAGCTACAACCTCTTCTTCACGACTTCATCATCCTTCTCCGCAGAAATCTACTACGCATACCCCAGCTTCCAAAACATCTCAATATTCGACCCTGTATCTTCATCGACATACGCCGGCGGCTCCGCAAACGTCACCTCCTCCCCATGCAATTCCAGCACTTTCCCCGTCAACGAAGCGTCCCCAACCAGCTGCGCAACCGCCCGCGTAGCAGTCGACATGGGCGTAAGAATCATAGACCTGAACAGCGCAGAATCCGGCGCAATATTCGTCTCTGCTTTAATCAGCCCACACCCTCACATATACCCCTCCTGAACCTCTCAAGAAATCAAACAAACTAACCAATAACAGCCGGCGCCAGCGCATTAATCTGGATGTGTTCCCGCTCCAGCGGCCGCGCAAGCGAGCGCACCAGCCCGATCACACCGCTCTTCGTGGCTGCGTACAGCGGCGCAATGGGGAACGGGTAGATCCCTGCGTTCGACGCCGTGCATATTATACTCCCTTTGGAGAGGCCTGACCCCACTCGTCTTGGTGCGTTTTTCACAATGTAGTGGACTGCTAGCTTGACCGCTGACACGGCATTAGCACTTCCCGGAAAGCGTACGGGAAAGGGGAGAGGGGGGAAGTACTGTATATCACACCGACAAGGTTAACATCCAACGTCCTCAGTTCCGGCTTCGAAGGCTTGACGTCGTGGATATTGGCCAGCAGATCTCCCTTCTGCGTGATACCGGCATTTGCGAAGACGATATCGATGTGCCCTTGCTCGGCAATGACCTTCTCAAAGGCTGCTGCTTGGCTTTCCCACGAGGAGACGTTGCATTGCGAGAAGGACAGGCTGGCGGAGGGGTATTCTGTGCATAGCTGGTTGAGGATCGGAGTGCCGTCGGTTATGTCAAGGATGGTGATGTGGGTGTTTGCTTGGGGGGCGAAGTGCCGGGTGATGCCTAGGCCGATGCCTGAGGCGCCTCCTGTTTAGTTTTTGGTGTTAGATCTGGGATTCTTGCAAGGTGGTTGTGCACGGACCGGTTACGATGATGCTTGTGCGTCTTTTTGAGGCCATGGTTGAGGTGTTGTTGCTGAGGCCCGGATGAACTTCTTTCTATCGGCGTGGTTGATATACTGTTGCCAATACTCTGTACACCGTACAAGCTCCGTAATCTCTCTTCGAGGTCATTGTACAGGTTACAGGCTACAGCGGAATTGTGCCGTACCCCGCATATACTACCGGTGCTCCACCTTATGCGTGGGGATGGGGTTTTCCCGATTGCTTATTGCTAATAGCTGACTGAGCTCTTGCTTTCGGCATACAATGGAGTCATGTTCCGGATGGAATGAGCAGGCAGCCAAAAACCAAGTCCTATTATCAGACGCTATCTCGGTTTAAAGCAATAAGTACATATTCCGTCCCCGCGGAGCATCTATGCGCAGTTAACATCCAGAAGGCTCTTGTCGACCTAGTAAACGCGGTTAGTTTGTCGCGTACCCTCTCTAGATGCAGGACTTACATTGGTGCAGACGAATTCATCCGTTCCCTTGGGACTCTTCACGTTGATGTTCTCAGCGTGGATGTCGGAGCAAACCTAAAGGTATTAGAACCGCTACTTCTGAAGTTCTGTAATATCTAGTGTCGAACTTACATTCGGGCTGGAGCAAACGATTGTGCCGACGTCGGGGTCGCGCTTGCCGGATGTGGTTCCGCGGAAGTTCTTGAAGTGGATGTCTGAGATTGTGAGGTTGCTCTGTAGATTGGTCAGTAATGATCATTATGAATTGGAAAGAAGGGGCGTACAGGGTGCTCATTGCACAGAGTCAGGTTCTTCTGTCCGTAGCACTGGGTCACCTCGATAGCCCAGTCGACGTTCTCGATGTACATCTGGTTGTAGGTGATGTTCTTCACCGACCCAAGGCCACCGCCGCCCTGCAGGTCCTCAGACATGGCGGACGAGACACCGGGCCAGACCTTGATACGAGCACCATCCTAGAAAAGGCCGTTAGCTATTTGTAATTCAGGAAGGCGTGAGATTCCTACCGATGCATTGTACATGGAGATGTTGTAGACGAGGACATTCTGCACAATGTCAACCTCGCCCTTGTACTGACCGAGAGAGCCGACGGAGATGCCGTGAGAGCCGTTGCAGTGTAGATTCTGTACGATGATGTTGGTGCTGTTGGGCTTGAAGGACACGCAATCTGCATATTCTGTCAGCTTATTCCTTGAAGCTGGGTGTAAGCAAATATACCGTCGCCGTTGTTGATGACAGAGTTTTGGATGACAATGTTATCCGAGCGGTAGGTATCCCTGTGGCGATGGTCAGAATAGGGATGATTGTCTGGAGCAATTGAGTCTCACCATCCGTCAGTGTTCTTAGCCTCGTTCTTGCTGCTGCTGTATCCGGAGATATCGATGCCGTCGAAGATCACATCTGAAGAGTTGGCGACAAGCTGGTACCACTGCGGCGAATAGCGGAGCTTCAGGGGACCGATTGTTCCTCCCTTCAGGCCGATGATTCCGAACAGGATAGGGCGTAGGATGAGCGCATCCTCTGCGTAGAGATCGTACCAGACCTGTCCGTTGCCGTCAAAGGTACCGCCACCGTAGACGTTCACGTCCTGACCACCCAGCTGGAAGAAGGTCGTGGCATTCTGGAAGCCGTGCTTGAAGGAGTGCGCTTGCCAGTAGTCGGTGTCATTGGTAAACTGAATCTTTCCCAGAACCTCTGTTTTATTCAACGTAAGCAATGGTCAATTCGACAACGATAGTACGGATCCTTACCCAGGTCAATGTGCTTAAGGAATGTCATGTCCAAGGCAGTGCCAACGGTGTATACCTTGTTGGCATCAAAGACAACCTTGCCGCCATTGTTGCATTTATGCAATGCTTGCATGATGTTCTTGGAGTCGTCCTTACCATGGCCGTTGCTGACAACATGGCATGTCTTTGTCCGCGGCTGACTAGGAGGTAGAGGCCGGAATGGGTGATTGGGCTTGCATGCATCGTTCCTCGAGCGAGTAAAGCCTTCAACGGAAGGGCTCAAGGAGAGCAACAAGCTCACTACCTGGACAAAGCTATACGAGAACTTCATGGCGATCGACAAGTATGTAACCTCAAGAAAGGTGGGCGCTTGCTTGAGAAGACCGCTGAACGAGAGAACACTGCGGGTCACAGGGATGACATTTATATATAGGTTAGATTCATCCTCAATCTAAATTAATCCAGGCTGCATATCCCCAACATTAACTAGTATTGACATTTTGGGAGTGGGGGGTTGGAAATTGCCATTACCCCGGGAGCACCCCGGCGGAGCAATTGTGGGAATGGGGAAGCTCAAAGATGATGCTTCTGCAGGCGTTTCAAGTCGATGACCCCAGAAAAATAGTTGAAATGCAAAACGCTAATCGCCTTAGCCCGCTTGGCTTCTGATATCTATACTCAACATTGGTTAGAGCACACGTCTAGAAGTTCTGATAGGAGGGATAACTTTGGGGTGAAGAGAAATTCCTCCGATTGGAAGGAAAAACTTGGTATTCTTTCGTAGCTTGAAGCTCATAAATGTCCGCTGACCCTCCGGTTATATTATTCCTTGATAGTCGATAGTTGAGATGGATTGCAATTGACTACGAACTTGTCTCTGCTTAAGCGAGCTGATCAGTTCCGTGTGCTTGTATATCATGCTCTCTGCAAGACATCATCTCAGAAATAGACAAGCGTATTTTGTCAACCCAGTCGGAAAAACGATCAGACAATGCTCGCCGCAATTAAATTGACAGAATTCAATTCTAGTGATGGCGCTCGAAGGATTAAGGCTAACGAAATCCTTTCGCAGTACGCGTAGGCTCCGGGGGCAACAGAATCAAATAACTGCCCAGCGCCCATCCTGCAACTCATTCACACGTGCTAGGACCATTGTCGTTCGAAGTCACTGATAACATCAGGAAGTTTTACTTCGTACGTACATAGTGTCCTCATGCCATCATCTCAGGCTGTCAAACCAAGCCTATTAGATCCTTGGCCAAGAGAACAAGCAATGCTAGGCCTCTTGGTAGAGCTAGGTCTGCCGCGATAGACTTGCACTGTTGCACATGGATTGACCGAATCAACCAGTTCGCCGAACAGGAACCTCCCACTCAGTCTTCAATAAGCATCTGCTGTTTGTTTGAGCATAGTGTATATCTCTCAGTTGCTCTATAAATATCAATCATAACTCAAGTAGCTTATCAATAGGATAGCGATTGTTGAAACTTTCCTTATGTTCGTTGCACCGGTCCATCTTGATTCTCACAAGGTCGTCCATCTCATGCTGCGGTTCAGGATCCCAAGCTGTATACGTCCTAAGAGAAGTAAAGGTTGCATAATACCTGACCCGATAGCATATATCAAAAGCACCGCTTTTTCAATAACATGCAATTACTGTGTCACCAGGACGATGCTTCTCGGCAACCGCATAAACATGATTTCTGGGCTCCGGCTCGTCAAAAGTTTCAACCAAGCAGTGGCCTTCTGTTCTTGTTTCTTTTCAGCGGACATGATCAAAGTCCATGGCTATCTGAGGTGTGACACTCTGTTTAAATCAGTCACGGCTGTCTCTCGAGAGAGAATGTCCAGGTATTTATAGTTTTGCATCGATCAGCAAGATTCGAAGATGCACGGCCTATGGCTAGAGTTCCAATGGGCCTTACTAGGATTAATCGTCCAAAACAAATAAGAGATGGCAACTTGGTAGACACCAGACATTTCAGTTAGTCTGCTTGATCCAATGATAGCGACGCCTCCAAGGTCAGCAGAAGTGTTCGGAAGTTCAACAAATATATAGATAGCATCCCCCGGCGCAACTATACACAATACTACAGAACAGAAAAGAAAACAAAAGAAAAGAAATAAAAAATAGCAAAGAGATTCCTCAACGAGACTAGATGAGAGAACTCCAAAAGGCAGCAAAAATAATTTGAGATGATGGAAAGGCAGCGCGAAAAAAGACGTTAGGTTGAAAAAAGAAATGCACAAGAGGGGAATTGAACCCCCGATCTTCGCATAGCGATCTTAACCCAAGCGGGTAGATACAAGTGCGACGCCTTAGCCACTTGGCCACTCGTGCTATTTCTTGGTAGAACTGCGCTCCGCAGAATTTAAGTAGGAGCAGACACAAAATTGCAACAACGCCACCCGGCTGTATCTACATGTCTACATGGTCTGCTTTATGAATCGAGCTATATCTTAGATAGAGGTTAAACCCATACAGGCAAGCCTGATCTAGACTGACCGTGAATAGCAGAAAAACAATGTCACCGGACATCAAGCTTTTCAGTCCAAATGTTCCGCTGATAAGGCTCTGAGCCTGACTCCAAAGAAATCGAAGACTCATAGCCTGAATACAGTGATGTCTGTCATTCTTGGTAAACGTATGAGCATAACATGCAATGACCCAAGACTCCTAGCTCTATCAAACCTACAAAACTGATCCTTCAATGCGCCTTATGCGCATCTTCTATTAACCAATTTATCTCATATTCAAGGGTGAGTATATACAGTAGTGTGCGACTTTTGCTTGTAGTAAAAAGGGATATCTCTCGTAGTCGTCCTTGTAGTCTGTGATTGCATGCGAGCATCCCCCAATTTAACCTGAAGTCCATTACGTAGACTTCTTGACAGCCGCCTCAGCCTTACCAACGGCGGACTTCGCCGAGTCAACCACCTCGTGCTCAATATCCTTCAAGGCCTCCTTCGTCGATCCTCCTTCCAAGCTGCGGCGGTACATGAAGATCCGGGTAACCTGGACGACACCGACACATCCGAGGAAGAAGTTAACAGCAGCAAGCCTGATTGACAAGTTAGTACGTTCAAGTCCAGGGATATTTGTAACAATGAACAAAACATACAGAATGTTGCGGGGCTTGATGATAAAGCACCAGCGAGTCCAGATGGCACCAGTGGCCATCAGGGCAGCGTTCTGAGTAAGGGAGAGCTTCTCAGCGGGACGACCAAAATCGGAGATACCCGCAATGACCAAAGCCCACTGTTTTCGACGAAAATGGTATTAGCAATATGCCTCAATCCAGTGTTTGGCAATAACTAAGCTACTAGACAGCTCAATGCGTAGTAGGGGTGATGATGGCCGTGGAAAGAGATAGTGTTCGTGGATCTATACCTTCATGACAGGTGCCCTACAATTGAATCATCTCATGTCAGCATGTCGATCAACAAAAAGTAAACATCGCCAATTGATTGCTCCACGATATGTCCAAACTTACCAGAAGTGAACGGTCTTGATGCCGACAGGGCTGTTCCATAGACGCTGGAATGTGCTCTGTTGTTGAGCGGATGCTGCACCGGCATCAGAGGTCTGGAAACGGCGTCCCTGGGCACCAGGCCGACGGAAGGGACCGTAGGCATTGCGGAAAGCAGCCCGGGTGTTCTGGAAGAAGCGCAGACCGATTCGCGAAGAAGACATTTTGATGTGTTGTCACGGCGGAACTGATGACTAGGTTTGAAGGGTCTTGATCAAGGAAGTACCGGTGGTCGGAATTGAGTGGAGAGTGACGGGGTCTTTGCACAAATGAAGCGCAAAGTACTATCAAGAACCCCACCAAAGTATGAGTGGAAATAGTCTAAAATAGAATAAGAAACGAAGCACGCGAGGTGTTCCCGTAGAAGATATGAGTATCAGATATCTCAATATGGGCATTGCCCGACCTCGGCGGCCTTGTTGGGAATGCGGCTCGTTCTCCGGCTGAGGTAAGCTGTGACAATAAGTTACGCTTGACCGTATTGGTCTACATTCGAACTCCGACGGAATCATCGTCAAAGTGCTCTGCAACACCCCTCGTCGGTTCTCTCGCGCTCAATATCTCCAATTGATACCCATTGCTCTCGCTTACGGGGGGATAGTCTTTTCCGACCGTATACGCTTTCGTTCATTCACATTGTCCGTTACTTTGCATAATGTCGTCCAAATACGCCTTCTCGAAAGGACTGAAGGAGCTCCGCTTCCTTTTCTGCCAGACTTCGGAGCAGAGCGCTGCTACACGGTAAATCTCTGGCAATTGCGGTGCTGATGCTGAAGGCGATTATTGACTCTATGACTTCTCGAATCGCAGGTCCTTCTTGCAGCGCGCGTACCCGACTATGAAGAAGCACAACCCCCAGACTCCCATTCTGATCCGGGAGGCAGCAGGCACTTTGCCCAGAGTATATGCTCGATACGGTACGACAGATAGTCACAATCGAACAAGTCAATGGAAGAGCAATTGGTGCTGATACAGCTATTACGAACAGGATTTGGAAAGGAGAAGCAGGAATCGCTGTCCGGTACGTCTTGATGATATCCTATCCACAAGTGCTTTGACTGACATCTTTGGATACGTTCAGGCCTTTCGGATCAGCAAGTTGAAGAGAAAGTCTCTCAGCTGGTCAAGGAGTCTTCGTAGTGCAATTATCACGCCGTTTTATATGTTCATGCACCGTTTGCCTCCAGTTGTCCAATACTGTATCTATAGATGAATCCAAAATACGTCGACCACGTTCAGGACGCAAGTGCGGTGGGAATTTCTATATCGGCTTTGCTTATGCTTACTACAGCGAGCTATTATCGCCTGCATCACCAAATCTATACTGCGCCCAGCTCATACTTCCCTCCTTCAGCGTCCAGAGTCTCTTTCCAAGATCATCCCCCGCAGCGCCAGCTCCGATATGAATTGGCAGCAGATGATCAAAGGATGGATGTGCTTGACGGGCATCGGGTCGCTTGAGGAGGTCACTCATGGCCTGCTCTCTTTCCGCAGGCGGCTTCGTGACAGCGTCCTTCAGAGCCTCGTCAAAGCTAGTAGTGTACGGCATTGGCTTGGGGTTGCCCCAAGTGAACTGCAGATCGCGCAGGTTGTGGACTGCCATACCCGATACAATGATCAGAATATTCTCATCGCGGAGCTTGGACACTGCTTGTCCGAGTCGGTAGTGCTGAGCGGGATCCTCAGTGTTGAACAAAGACGCCTGCACTATCGGGACGTTCAAGGGGTTGGAGTCTGGGTCAAACGCTGCATTCCATGCATTATTATCGGCACCGATTCGCGCAACAAACATCTCGGCCACTTACCGCACTTAAAGCTGGCCCAGACACCATGATCTAAACCTCTCCTGACTCCCTCCGCTTTGATGCCCGCCTCCTTCAACGCACCAAGCACCTTGTTCGCAACCTCCTTGCTCCCGACGTTAGGAAACTTCTCCTTGTAATAGTGGCTCGGGAAGCCGTAGAAACTAAGACAGCCCACTCAGCATGCATAACCAAGCACGCCGTCAGGATTTCACATACTCGTATATAAGATCAGTCATCTCAGCCGTATTCACTTGGATCGTGTCGCGACCAGCCTGCCAGTGCGCAGAGAAGACCACAACAGCCCGTGGCTTGACTTTGGTGGTGATCTCGCGCCCGATCTCACCTAATTTACGGTACGCCGGGTGGTCTCGCTCATACATGATATTCGGCTGTAGCACCCAGTCAATCGCACCATTCCTCGACCTCCGCGCAACAAAGATAGAAAACTTACACCCCCATGACTCAAAAAGTAAACCGGAGTCTTCATCGTGCTGCCAGACTTCGGAATAGCAGAGCTTGTCGAGATGTCTCTTTTCACCACACCAGCAGCAGCCGACTGCGTTCCGAAGAGTCGTCTAAGCCCGAACAGCTTGGCGGTGGTATCGGTATTGGTATTTTCGGCGCTGAGCCCGTATCCGAACGCAGCGAGGAGTATCGCTACTAACAGAGAGCCGACTGAAAAAATCACGAGTTTCCTACTGGTGTGCTGGTCGCTTGTGCTGGATGGGGGAGTATCGGCAGATGAAGACATATATCCGTATCCTTATCGGATATACTGGACGGGGAAGCTGTTGGCCGGGGTTGCGTAGACAAGGAGATATACAGATCACACGAAGCTCAGGACGAGATGTTAGCAAGTCAAAGGGCTGAGATTCGAGAATATCTAAGATTTGGATTTATGGTGAAAAGTTTGTGTCTTCAACTTCCATCTCGAAGCAATTGTAATCAATACTAAGCTAATGGTCCCATGCGTTCCGCTGTCAGCAAAAGTGCGGAATCAGCCCGCTCTGTGCTTTTGCTTGTCGGATCATGACGATGTCGGTTCTACCATGGTGTGCCCATGTTCATAGGTGTTATACACTGTCAGATGGATATCTGGATGCTGTAATGTGTCATATGTTAGTGGAGGACATACTTCGAATCTGCTAGCTTTCCCTACAGTAACCCAGTCACTGCCGGATAAATGGATCTGGTCGGGTGTATTGGACCGGTCCAGTACATCATGGCATTATGATCAGTTCTACGCAACTTATCAGATTGTCGCGGTTCTTGATTCTTTCTCATTTGCGCCGGCACCAAGAGGACAGAGCAGAACGTGAGGATAGAACCTGGCCATCATGCCTTCGGTAGATCATCATTAAAAGAAACGGAGGCAGCAGAGCAAATGTACAAGAGCGGAGCATCCATCTCCAAAATGGCACCTTTTCAACATCATACGTTGCGTCAATATGCGAAGTTGGTAAGATCATTAGGGGTATATGCGTCAAATGCAGGCAAAACATGCAATCTAGCCGACGAAAGAGAGCAACGCCATAGGAATAACAAAGAGAAACGCATAGGAACACGAGAAACCCAACTTCGTGAGATACATGACGCATGAATCGGAGTTCACATGAGTACGCAATCGCCCTCGTTCTGTTGCCGATTGACAGTGGAGCGAGAGAGACGGGTCTTTTGCATGCGAGCCCCGCCTTTCTTGATTTCCTCGAGACGCTCCCGAGCCTTGGGAAAACCTTGAGCTGGTGGGGTGAAGCAAATACATTAGCTTGAAACACAGAGACCGCTGACAAAAGACAGGAAAGAACTTACCAGCTGCTCGCCAATACCATCTTTTGGCATCATCCAGATTGGCGGCGACTCCAATGCCAACTTCGGTGAAATAACCCATCGCATATTCTGCCTTGGTAAGACCCGCGGTGGCTGCCTTGCGCGCCCAAAGGTAGGCCTCAGTGTCGCTTTGCTGAAGTATGCCTTCAGAACCCGTCAGATACCACCCGCTCAGGGCA